GGCCCCGTAAGTCACTGTATAGGCCACATCACATTTAAACGCCACTCCGAATCTACAAGTGGAAGTAGAATGCGGGTCGCATCCCAAAGCGGGATTGATCAATGGCAAAAGCTTTATCCTTTAACTTAAATAACCTCAGCATTTGCAGGAAAAATTGTCCCGCACCTGCCCAAACAGTCTTTAGGTTTCAGAAGGATCCAATAGGTTTCCGTGTAAAACGTGGAATAGATGGCCGCTTTATGGGAAGGCTTCAACTTCAGGAACCTCACAGTGCGTGTTGACGACGAAGACACGCCGTACGTGGTGAAGGTGCAAGCAGCTACAGATGATGGTCCTGGAATTATTTCGGAAGCCTATGAGGTGACCACGGGAAGAAAACGTGAGTAGAGCATCATAGTGCTTTCATCTCACGTGAGAAACATGATCTGTTATTCCAGAAATTCCTCTCACCGTGCGTCTCGAAATCAGTGACCCACCAGTTTCTGAATCCGACACTGAAACCGAAGTCGAACCAGCACAGCCGATTCACTTCAGGTTTGCAGGAAATATTCACCAAGGAAAAACTCAAGTATTTCCTATGAGACGCTATGTATTCAGATGTGTGGCAGAAGGACGTCCGATGCCAAGCGTTTCCTACAGTTGGTTGCCGATGAACTCCACAGAAAGCGGCGATGTGAGTTCAAACCATCTGAGAATGAAGTCCAAAATAGTCCAAATAAGGCATACCACTGTCTTGATGTCGTAAACTCACTTCGAAAGCAGACTTGCTACTTCCCTGATGAGCGCCAGAGCGAGGGATTTTCTCAGCCAAAAGATGAGCAGGGAGGGCCTGGTAAAAACGTTTTTAGTTTCGTAGAGCTACCGAAGTATACGCAATTTTGTTGCACTCAGTTAAAGGATTCCACGATAAGAACGAAGGTCGAAGAATAGAAACTTACCTAGTAGAGGGACCCCTAAGGGTGCGGACCAACACGCAATTCACATCGAAGGATATCCCCCGACAATCTGGCATGGCTTTCCTTGGCGCAGTTGGCCCGGAACGCCCACCGACATAGCAGAGAGAGCGTTAGCGTTGAAGAGGGCACGATGAGAGTCGCATCAATGCGAAAATCAACGGGCAAGGAAGGGGTCCCATTTCTCGGGTTCCGGGCCGTTTCACATGGTTTCTTCTTCATCCCTACTTCACTGACCACCTCTACCTTATTTCCAT